ATGGAAAATGTGACCCCAGGTGACCCTTCCTCTATTCTGCACTATTTAAGAAACAATTTGGTGGGTGGGGGACAATATATTCAACACTTTGGAGGTACTCCTCAACTTACAATCATTCATTTGGCGACCATTCAAAGTTACAATGGCACTGAAAAAAAGTGACTTACGACCATTTTTCACACAACAATTGCAACATCCCCATGGTCCAATGATTAAAATTCAAATGCTTGGCAACTGACATGTATTTATGACATTGCAAATGTCCTAACCATGTCCCAATCACCAGTTGTGACCTTCTGATAAGCAAACTCAGTGTGGAAGCCAGATTTGCTTAACAACAGTGTTACTAACTTAACAACTCCAGTGATTCACCTAACAACTGTGGCAAGAAAGTTCATAAAATGGAGCAAAACTCACTTAACAACTCTCTGGCTTAGCAACAGAAATGTTGGGCCCAGTTATGGTCAAAACGTCAAAACTGACTCAATGCCATAGTTACACCTGCTGTCGTTCTCAGTTTGCCAAACAGCAGGTTTGTGTATGGGACGTAGGTGAATTCCTAAGGAGGGAGGGATGCTCCAGAATGCAAGATGTTTAGGCACCAAGGTCAAGTTATAGAATGTTTGAGCAGCACAGACAATCTTTCCCCCCCCAAAAAACCCAAACTGAACCCAATTGGTTAACGATGAATTGTAGGTGGCCTGGAGGGGGAAAAGGGATTTTTACCTATGTGGGGTTTTGTGACAAAATCCAAGAACTGACTTTGCTTCTGTTGTACCTAGAGGTATCTTTCAATCTAAAGGAGCTGAGAGGTTCTTTGATTGAATATGCCGAATGGGGTGGTTAACATATAAGTCAAGGACTACCTGTATTACTCAAACAGATGTTTGGGAGAGGTACAGCTTTCCCTCTTTCTTATAAACACGTTAATGCTCTTTTCTAACAACTTTAGAACAGGAATGTATCTGCAGGTGTATGCAACTAAACAACATGTATGTTGAAAAAGGTTAGAGTGCCAATTAAAAGGGTGAACTTTTGATATTGTTTAATAGTTCAAATTGTTATTCAGTGGTTGATAATTAATAGGTAATACTATCTAGACCAGGGATATCAAGCTCTATTTTACTGAGGGCCATATCAGGGTTGTGTTTGACCTTGGGAGGGCTGGGGGCATGTCCATCTCAACATCACTCGTGTTGGGGGTGCTTGTGTTGGCCCAAGCACTCTGACAGCAAAAATGAGCTTTCAAGCTTCGTTTTTACCCGTGACAGCCTCCTGCAGTCCTCTGCCAGAAAAAATAGGCTCTCAAGCTCCATTTTCATTTGCGATGGCCTCTGGCAATTCTTTGCCAGCGAAAACGGAGCTCCATTTTTGCTGGCAGAGGCCAAGTGGGCCGGTCCTTTGCTGTTTCTAAGACAGCCCCACAGGCCAGATCTAAGCACCCCAGCACATGGGCCTTGAGTTTGGCACCCCGTTCTAGACTGCCATTATGTGGCCTTTGAGACCACAGCAGTGGAAAGCCGCCATCTCCCCACAAGGTTAGAGATTTCTTCCTTGGTGCTTTCTGAGGTTGGAAAATTCCAATCTTTGAAAGTTATGAAAGGAGATGCAGAGCCCTGGATAGGATGTGAGGAGTTTTGGATTCAATCCTTGTACAATCTTCTGCCACATCCCCAAATTAGGGCAGAAATGTGGACAGCATGAGAGCTGCTCTAAATTAATTTCTCTTTTCCTGCAAGGGGAGCTATATTTTAGGAGAGAGTAGAAAAATGCAAACATTTTTCTATCTTCATTTCCATCCCTTTGGTCTGTAGCTGACAGAGCATTGGATATATTGGCGTGCTTAGCATGAGCTCATGACTGCCAGTATCAAAAAACATTTCATCGTTGACACACAGTCACCCTTACATGCAGTATGCATTTGCTTTGGCTGAATCCTCAGTTAGTAACCAAAATGGACACATCAAAGCTATTCTGACCTCTTCCAATATGTATTTTATCAAAGATTTGGAATCATTTCAGAGCTTCAAAGGGTGCTTTTTTGGTTCTTTTCCTGTCCACTCAACATATTTCTGAACTGTCTCTAAACTTTCTACAAAAAGTAAACTTCAAGTTGGGAGCAAGGAAAGAATGTAGTCTGGTGATCGGTAGCATCCAGCCACATAATTCACTTCAATTTAAATTTATTTTTGGTTGCAGGCCAAAATTTTGTTTTAATTTTTAATTCCAGCAGCAAACCGTACAATAAAGAAAAAACGCCTACATGGGTCATTAATTGTTTTTTAATATAGAAAGCAGTCTATCAGATTTTATGTATACTTAGAATTTCTTTATATTTGAACCTTTTTTAAATGTTCAAAGAATTTATCAGGTAATAGAAAAACAGAGTATTAGTTTCATAGAATAACTAGAGCAGTTTGAAGGTGTGGTATTAATTCTGGAGGCCCTGTACGGACAGCTCAGCAAATAGTGATTCAATATTAGGTCTTTAAAGGAAAGGTTACTTTATTTCCCTTCCAGAATTTTGATTTCATTGATGATGAAAGTAAATGTCTATGGTGAAAACAGCAAAGATGTCATAAGCACCTTTAGGAATAGGGGCGGAAAACCTGAAATTTTACACGGGTAATAAATTCTGCTGCTATTGTTCTGCAAATTTCCACCTGGGACATGTTGATTGACCTTTTCTAGAACTCTCAGACCACAGTATTCTCAAGGATTAGCTAAGAATCTATAATAAGACAAATCTATGTTTTTTTCCTCATGAGGAATCAAAACATGTTGACAAGGATTGCCTGGTTTAAGATTCTGTCAGGCCCCAAGAACCATACCTGAATAACAGAATAATATAGTTAGAAAGGACCAACCCCTGCTCAAGCAGGAAATCTTATACAATTTCAGACAAATGGTTATCCAGTCTCTTCTTAAAAACCTTCAGGGTTACTTATGAGTAGTTTCTTTTATTGTTCTTCACTTGCAGACAGAATCTTGTCAGACTAAAGCCATTGTTTGTATAACTACAGAAATATTGGATCTAGACAACTTAGAACTACACCGCCTACAGTCTGACCTAAGTTTAATGCACAAAATTGTCTGTTACAGCATCCTACCTGTCAATGTCTACTTCAGCTTCCACCACAATAACACTCGGGCAAACAATAGATACAAATTTAAAGTAAACTGCTGCAAACTCGATTGCAGAAAATACGAATTCAGCAACAGAGTGGTCAATGCCTGGAACTCACTACCTGACTCTGTTGTTACATCCTCAAACCCCAAAACTTGAACCTTAAACTGTCTACCGTGGACCTCACTCCATTCCTAAGAGGTCTGTAAGGGGACGTGCATAAGTGCACCAGCATACCTACTGTCCCTGTCCTACTGTTCCCATTCATGCATTTATTCATACTCTTTTATTATGTATATACTTATACCTGTTTATACTTATATGCTTATATGTTATGTTCATACTTATACTCGTTTTTCTCATACATGCTTGACAAACAAACTAAATATATATATAAAAAAATAGAAATAGGAAAGTCTTCCTAACAACAGTTTTACCTGCCACAATACAGAGGTGGTATTCAGCAGGTTCTGACCAGTTCTAGAGAACTGGTAGTGGAAATTTTGAGTAGTTTGGAATACTGTCTCTGACTGGTCCCGCCCCCATATATTCTCTACCTCCCGAGTCCCAGCTGATTGGCTGGATCTTCTTTTGCTGCCCTGCACAGGAGAACGGAGCTGGAAAACAGGTTAGTGGGGTGGGAATAGAGATTTTGCAGTATCCTTCCCCTGCCACACCCACCAAGCCACGCCCACCAAGCCACACCATGCCCATCAAGCCACGCCCACAGAACCAGTAGTAAAAAATTTTGAATCCCACCACTGCCACAATAACACACCATATATAATAATTTATTTGTCCCAGTGAATCAACTAATGTTTTTGTGTACTAGTCCTATGTCCTATGTTCCTTTAGGAACTTTTTCCTTTGTACCATCATTCAAATATCCTGACATGGCATGTTGCTTCATCCTGGAGGGGAGGAATTCTTTTTGTGATCTTTTAAGGGACTTTTTTCTCCAACTTTCCAAATTTATTCATACTTCAGTGTATCTCTACAATATTGTTTTTGCCTTTGTTAGACTTACTTAGCTCAAGCATTCCTTTAAGCATTCTCTCTCCTCATCCCACCGGGCATTTGGGGACCACTATGAACAGCTGATGGGGAAACCTGTCTACTGTCCATGGGCTCAGTTACTCTTTTGATCAGAGTTCTTTCCTTCATCACTCCTATTGGGTTGGATTCCAAACATGTCTGTTTGCATTTCCTGCAGCAATCAGACACCAGTTGTCAAAGGATTTTTATTTTGTTGACTTTAGACAAATTAATAAACCATTGACTTCATGGGAGGAGGGTGAGACAAATGACAAAGAGGATCTTTTCCTGTTTTCTATAGAATATTTTTTTTTTAATTTGTAACTCCCAGGGTCCCCATATGCCAAAAAAATAATAATGGAAAACTGTGGGAACTGTGAACAGACATCAATAAGCCAGCTTGGAAATAGCACAATTACAACAGAGATACCTAACACCTTGAGTTTTGTGTAGGAATTTTTTTAAACAAATCTCTTTCCCTAAAAAGCCTAATTTCCCTTCATTTTTTTTCTTGCCTGAACTTGACTTCAAGCTTAATGCTATATCTGTTTAATAGCCGTTTACAAAATCTGATCCATTCTCTCCAAGTCTAGTGAACGCTCACTGACAGTTTATAATTCATTGGCTGGCAATGATATGTAATACCTCTGTTCTAGCCAGAGTTTTGTTTGGAAAAAACAAACAATAACGATTTATATGCTCGGAGTAGAATGAATAAAAACAATCCATGTAGTTATCCTAAAAGAATCCAGGGTTTACTTTTATTGTTAAGCCAAACTTTTTTTTATCTTAAAGTAATTAATTGTTTAATTCTCTGTTGATTTCCTATTATCTGTAGGCTGGCATAGATGGAGAAAGTATTGGGAACTGTCCATTCTCACAGCGTCTTTTCATGATACTTTGGCTCAAAGGGGTTGTATTTAATGTAACCACAGTTGATCTGAAAAGGTAAATATTATCAATTAAAGTAATACTATAAGTTTTTGGCCCTCTTGGAAGAATGTTTGTATAATGATATTATATTAATTTATTCCCATCTTTATGGGACTTATTTATGCTACTCAGAAAGAATGAAACAATGAATCATTACCAAAGAGGAACATTATGAGTAAGTAAAAGCATAACATGATTAAACATATCTTAATGTATTCTTCTTGGTTTCCACAGAAAGCCTGCTGATTTACATAATTTAGCTCCTGGGACCCACCCACCATTTCTGACTTTTAACGGAGAAGTCAAGACAGATGTAAACAAGATTGAGGAATTTTTAGAGGAAACTCTTTCACCTCCAAAGTAATATATATTATCTTTGTTTCTGAAATATTTTATTAGAGTTATGTTAAAATTGCCAGGCACTATATAAAAGTAAATGACAAATATATCAATAACTTTGCTTATAATTAGTTTGCCTTCCTCATAGATTGTCAGTCAGGTAACAATTCTAAATGTGTATCTTCTTTCTCTATCCTATGAAGTCATATTTATTTGAGTTTGAATTGATGGCCAGAAACCTTAGCCATGAGTTCTTCTATTTTTAAAAATGTTCATCTGAAGTATCTTGCTTCAAATTAAACCACCGTTCCTGGGTCTCCAATTGGGAAATAAACTCAGATAATCATCCAAATAAACGATATAATTAGTTCATTTCTTCAGTAGCTGAATGTCATTCAAGCGTATTAGACCCAGCATATGTAAGTATGAGTATTTATGTCATGCTGAGTTGTGGGATACTTCTTCCCCCAGTATAAAACATGACATCACTTACCAACACATTTATGGTTGTAAGATAAATGCATTTGATTTCAGGGACTGTAAGTTGTAAACTTTATTCAATAGTTTTTGGTTGCAGCTGGCAGTAGATACTAAAATCTGATTAATTTTTTAAGATTATGATTCTCAGCCCACAGGCAACTTCTTAAGAATTACAACACACTTTTCAAAATTCTATTTCTATGTAGAACTTTAATCACACATCTCTTTAAGTGCACACATACTGGGAGCCTCCCTCCACTTTTTTTTTTCCTGTTGTTACACTGAAAAGGACTATTATAGCTTGGACTGATTTTCAGCAGAGGGAATTAAGCAATAGGCTACATTTACAATGAAATGAAGCTGTGTACTGCCAAACTCCTCCATATCATTGAAGATATATGGCTTGTTCTGATATAAAATTACAGTTCTTTGGTTTCTTTGACTTTAAGCATTGGTGCAATTAACCTTGTCATAAAACCCCCGGCGGTGTGACTTAAAACTAGTTGGCTTCCTATGGCACCACTCATTTTCAGCAGGGTCCTGTAAGGCTGACATGCTGAGATAAGAGGCAGTTTTAAAATAAAAATTGATCTTCAGAAATGTTGTTTTGTGTTCTAGCAGCACTTGCCAGGAACAAAATGTGTCTTTTAATGGTGTATTTTTGTGTGTGCATGTATTTGTGAAGTTTTGTTTTTACCTTCCTGGGAACATTATTTTTTAAAAACCACCTCTTTCTATTTACAGATATCCTAAGCTTTCAGCCAACCATCGTGAATCTAATACTGCAGGCATAGACATATTCTCCAAATTCTCTGCCTTTATCAAAAACACAAAGCAGCAGGACAATAACAGTAAGTTGTGAGAGAAGAAGCCACCGCATGTGCTTCCTCTGCAGATCTATAGAACACTCTCTTTCTCTGATGACGAAGCATTCTCTTCACTTCTTCATGACCAACGTCTACATTTTGCTTCGCTCCCCAATCCTCAGCCTTTGTTTCTCTTCATTCACTTTTTGGCAGTTCATTAGGCACATGAAAATGGTCACTCAAATGGGCAATTTTAGTTGGTGCATGTATCCATAGTGTATTTCATAGATAGAAGAAGAAATATTATTGCCATTTGTGAATGTGTATTATTGCCATTTGTTCATATCTCATGTTGCTTTCTTACAGTAATTTGGATGTGGATTTGATTGCTGAATGTCTAAGCTGCAGGGACTTCTTCCAAGGGCCAAGAATAATTATTCTTATAATTATTCTACATTGATAGCTCAGTCACCTTTGGGTAAACTTTGCTTAAATCAGACTGTGAATTGATGTTAGTGGCTCTTAAAATATCCTGATAGGGGCAGAATGCTGTTGAGAATGAAGGATGCCTTGTACGCTTCCCTTGCCAATGAATTCCTCTTCCTTTTCTTGGATTGAAGGAATTTGCAGTTTCATGTTTTGCATTATTTGATATTTTATTTATATTATTTTTTTACCTCTTTTCATAAAGAAATCATGAATGTTGGCAAATTCTCAACTCAGTCTAACATCCCCATTTTTAGATGGTAGAAGAAGGAACATAATTCTGTTTAATGGTAATAATATGAATGTGATGGTGAATCCACATTAGGATAGTAAAATTCCTTTCACTCAGTTGAGCCCTACAGGAATTCATTTTCAGTCCTTTCTCTCTTTTGTTTGATTAAGTTTGCTGCCTTGAAATATACAAATTGAAAAGTCTGGAGCAGCCTGGCTAGGACTGTAAACCCAGAAGCAAACACATATCAAAGTTCCACAATTTTTTAGCATCTTGAAAGTGAGGGAATTGATTCCAGATTTTCAAGTTGTGGCAAGCTGTGTTTAAAGAAAGTGTGCATATTTATTATTTCAAGCCAGTTCAATTACAGCCAACTTGATTCCATCTACCCCCCAACATCACCCAAATCATTTTAATAACAGGTTTTTCTAAGGCTTGATCTTCACCACATACCATCATAGACTCTGCTTTGACATTCTCTGTATAGTCCTAGTGCTGTAGTTGCCATAAGTATATATTCATTTCTGATCCAAGAATAAAGAATTCTAGGAAGATACACATGGGAGGATACTCAAAATCAGTTTTTTTAGAATCTTCTCTTTGAGTGTCCCCTAGAGTTAGTTTCTTTCTTTCTTTCTTTCTTTCTTTCTTTCTTTCTTTCTTTCTTTCTTTCTTTCTTTCTTTCTTTCTTTCTTTCTTTCTT